ATCCACCATACAAGTTTCCCAAAAGGCTTCAGAGATAATAGGAGAGGGCAGCCTGGATAAATCACACTCTACAAGCATTGCATTCCCCATTCTTGTGGGGAAAATCTCTTCCAATCCACTCTCTCTTTCCCCTAATCTCTGCAAGAAACACCCCCCCTACACACACACACACACACATCCATGGCAGGGGCTGATCATGACAACATGAAAAGTCCTGGACGTGTTCAAAAGTGCCTCCCCCCTTCTCCCTTTTTTTTTTGCTCGCTTTTTTTGTGTGTGAAAAAGAAAACGGTGGTGGGGAAGTGGCGTGGGGGCTTTGGATGAGCGACAACTGTGGCAGGGAAAGCAGGGATCAAAAGAATTAGCAAGGCAAGGGAGTGCGATCCAACGGAAAGGTGAGTCGCGTGGGATGAGTTTGACAAGATTTCCCCCCCTCCGCCCTTCTCCCCCATGCCGCCTCCACCTCGTGTTGTCTGCACTTCAAGTGATGTGAGACATGGTGGGGAAATTTAAGCTGTGCATGCACTTAAATAGGCCCAAATTTTGGGGCCAGGCCTTAATTTAACTACATACGCACAAAGCAGTGCTGGGCCTTCGTTTTGTGGTGGGCCGTATTGTTGGAGAAACATGGTATCTGTTAATCAATTTCAAGTATGGAAATGAAGAAGAGTTCTGAAATATGAAAGCTTTTATACTTCTGATATACCCAGTGTTTACCTGATCAAGATTCTTCATTGTACGGGTAGTCCTTAACTTATAACCACAATTGTTGTGGCCCGGCAGCGGCTGGCGGAGCTGACAGAAGAGTCGGACAGTAGTGAGGAGATTGAGGAGGAACCTGTGCCAGTCTTGGAGGTTGAAGAAGGCTCGGACAAGGGATCTGCATCAGAGGCAGAGATGGGGCCAGGGCATGCTGGCAGTCATCTACCTTCGGGCTCAGATAGCAGTGAGGCTGGGGAGCAGTTGGAACCGGTTCCCAGCCTGCGCACGGGCAGAGCTGCTAAAAGAAAGGAGCAATTCTCCATTCTCTTTCCCTTCTTTCCCTTTTCTTCCCCAGCTAAAGTTGTTTGTTCATTAAAGATGGCTTCTTCTTCTTCATCCCAACCTTCTTGTTCTTGTAATTTCTGATAGGTAGAAATCGCCATTTCTAAAAAATGAAAAACAGATCCAGAAGAGCCCTTCCCTTCTTGTTCCTCTTCTTTTAGCTTTTTAAATTGCATTTTCAGTTCTTCAACAAGTAATGCCATTGTGAAACATTTTTAAACAACCCAAATGTTTTTAGTCTTTCAAATAATAATTTCCAAAGGTCCCAAAGTCACCAAGCAATCCAAATAGACACAAACTGTTTCATTTAGCACTTTCTTCTTTTTATACTTTCTCTTCCTGGGGTACAGTTCAATTGCAAAGTTCCAAAGTATATCTTTTAGAAGTCTTGTTAAAATTTAACTCTGTTCTTATAAGTCCCAAGCAGCCTCCTCCAGCGAAATCTTAAAATTAATTCTTTTCCTCTCCCTTCCCACTTATAGCAAAAAAAAAAAAAAAATCTTTTTTAAATTCCAATGTTCAGAAATCTTTAATGTCCCCATGGCTTTAATTTCAAATTTAATTACCTGCTGGTGCCAAAACGGGTTTTTCCGATTTCCATCTGCTATCACCGTAAGGAAGGAGAGTGAGAAAAAACAAAACTTTCCATTTTAACTTTCATCCGCCGCTTTTTCCGATCTTCGTTGGGAACAATGTATCTTTGATGAAATTAAAATTTCAGGGTATTTAAATGTTACTTGTTATCCCGGTTCAGCCAAAAACTTTCACTTTCTCAGCTTCTTCCTGCACATTATTGTCCGGATGAAAGCTTCTTTGTGGCGGCCATTGCTGACCGCCGCTCCACCGCTTTTGGAAAAGGGAGTTAAGCCAGCTGAGGAGGGGGGTTGCGATTCCCCTGGACCCCTGCTGGATCTCCCCTGTCTTCAGTTACCTCTACGGGGTAACTATTAGCCCCCAAATCCGGCTGGATCAGGGGCACTCCAGCGGCGAGCGCAGCAGGAACCGCGCACGATCGCGGATTCCTGCCGCTGCCAAAGCCTTGCAAACTGGAAGTCAAACAGGTGGACAATGAATGGCCCCTCCCATCAGGATTAAAAGAGGAGCAAAAGGGGAGGTGGCTTTTGCAGGAAACAACTCGCTCGTTCGGTCATGTGTTTGTTCCAGCCTTGTGGACCTTGGTCTGTAAACCCAGCCTTCCCTGCCAACAGTGAGTGTGGAAATGTTTACCGGGCAGCGTTCCAGGATTGATAACAGTCTGAGATAATTAGTCCATCTTCGCGAGAATGTGTGCCAAGCCGTTGGCTGACTGTGAATGAACTAATTCACATTATTGTAAATAAAGAGGTTTTTGCCAGGACACAGAATTGACTGAGTGCTTTTGGGTGAGGCCTAGGACAGAACAGAAATAAGAGAGCCAGTTTGGTCTAGTGGTTAAGGCGCCAGGCTAGAAAGCAGGAGACTGTGAGATCAAGTCCTACCTTAGCCGTGAAAGCCAGCTGGATGACTTAGGGCTAGTCACTCTCTCTCAGCCCAACGCATCCCACAGGGTTATTGTTGTGTGGAAAAATAGGAAGAGGAAGGTGTGTTGGATATGTTTGCTGCCTTGAGTTATTTGTAAAAATAATAAAGGCGGGATACAAAATAAATAATAAATTGGGACTGGAATTTTGGTCATAAGTCATAATCATATGTTGAGGCACCACGTCACCAGACTCAATTTTACAACTGTTTTACAATGGTTGTAATGCGGGTCACCATGATTAAGCACATCATGTGGTCATTAAGCAAATCCATTCTTCCAAATGGGCATTTTTTTTGCCAGAAAAACAGTTGTGTGATTGTAGGATGGTGTAACAGGTTGTAAATATGAGCCGGTTGCCAAGTGCCAGAAATATCACATGACCATGAGGTTTGTGTGCAGCGGTCACAACTCCAAGGACAAGTCGTAAGTAACTTTTTAAAAGTATGTTGTAACTTTGGTTGTTAAACAACCAGTCCTAAGTTGACTACCTGTATTGACAGTGTCCCCTCAGATAATTGACAGAGAGGGACATCCGTAAGAAGACCATATTTTTCATTTCTCTTGTTTATTTTGCCCATTATTACTTTATTTCCTGTGATCTACAGCGGCCATAACATGGATAAGAGAGTGGATTAACTTGGACAATAAGAGAATATTACTAATAGAGGGACATGATCTCCAAAGAGGGTGGCGTGGATTCTTATGGGAAGGGAAAAACAAAAATCACTCCTATTTCCACAGGCATCAGATTAGAGACACATTAATCCAGGTATGGGAAAAAATAAAAAAAAACCCACTATACTAAAATACCTAATTGGCTGTCAACAATGGAAACGATGATATATCCCAATGCAATGGACCTTAACAAAATGAGAAAATACAAAGAATTGATTGACACACAAGAGGTTGAAAACAGTACAAGAACTAAAACAAGGCATAGAAATTGATTGGTGGCCCTATGTGCAAATTCAGACAAGATATAAGAAAGAGAAGGAAGAATATGGATTCTATAAAGACCAACAACAATTAGATAAAATAATTCAGGGAACAGAAGAGAAAATGATATCTAAAATATACAATCTACTTTTGAATTACAAAATGGAAAAAAAAATTATAAAAGAAACTTCTGACCCAAGCCTTGTTCAAATTAAACAAATATAAACTGTGTATAAAAGCAAACCTTTTTTAATGCGGCGCTGGGAATTCAGTGCATTCCCAGCCAAGAGACATTTAAACCTAATTGTCCGATATCAAAAGCAAGCCCTTTCAATGTTGCAAAAGGCTGCCAAGAACAGAAGACAAATTACTGATTAAATATCCACTGACAGAAGTTTCAAAAACAAACTGGAGTAAGCAGGGCTTCAATGAGGACTCTTGAGTCTAAAGAACTTATTTGCTTCCTGCAAAGAACACATCCCTGAGGGCTGGTATTTATCCCTTATGGGAGGGGCCATCACCTTCCAGCCTTACTCCCAAGTCGCCCTTGCTTCTTCAGCTGCTCTTTCCTTCGAGCAGCCCTGCGCGCGCACGCACTGGGCACAGGCTCCCTGTGGTCTTTTGCGTCACTGCTGCCAGAAGCTCCTAAGGCAGCACCCGACTCTCCAATAGTCCTGGCCCCATCCCTGCATCACACGCAGGTCCCTTTGTCTGAGTCCTCGCTATCAGAGACCTCTGCCGTCTGCACCTGTTGCTGGCGAACCACAACAGAAACAATGATAGTTTGGGCAAAATATTTTGAATTAGAATACTGGGAAAAATCTGGGGAAAAATTATAAACTAACATTAACAGCAGCATATAAAGAAAACATATACAAAATGTTCTATGGAGTAGAATTCATAAGTGGATAGAGGAAATAACCGGGGGGAGGGGGAATTGAATTCAGACCGGAATTGTTTCTATTAGGAATACTAAGGGGAGACCATACCAAGACAGATGTATATATTATTTTACATATAATAACAGCGGCCAGGATTGTGTATGCACGGTATTGGAAACAGGAAACTACTATCTGAGGGGACGGTATTAAAAAAATTATGGACTGCGCAGAGATGGACAGGCTGACTCTAGAGTTAAAAGATAGAAACAAAACAGAATAGTACTTAGTCTGGGACGCCTGGCATACTTGGTTAGACAATAGACATAAAAGTAACATAGTAGTTGATACATGAACAGAAATGTTGACGATGTCATAATGTTGTTGGAAATGTAAATATGTTTTTAAATTGTTGAAAAATGTTTAATAAAATTTATTTTATATATAATTTCCTGTGATCTATATTTGGCAGGTGAATTGGTAGCTTTGAAAAAAGTAAGGCTGGACAATGAAAAGGAAGGTTTCCCTATTACAGCTATCCGTGAAATCAAGATCCTTCGACAGTTGATTCACCAGAGTGTTGTCAACATGAAGGAAATTGTTACAGACAAACAAGATGCACTGGATTTCAAGAAAGACAAAGGTAGTCATTGTCAAAGAAGATTGTTCAGGAATAAATTCTGGGATTATGGCTTGTGCTTCAAATCAGCTGGCTTTCTTAGCTGTAATGAACGTGCTTTGTACATAAAACATACCCAATGTATTGTGAGGAGGTATATTTTAATTTTGAGTAAACTGCCAGAATGTCAAAGGCTTACCTTGTAAGAAACATCTGGGTTAGAAGTTTCCTATTCATCTTGAGGATCTTTTATGAAATTTTGAGAGTTCTATACTATGTAGGCTTAACTTTAATAAAAGTTAAGGGGAGGAATGTTGCTATTCTTAGGAAGAGAAATTTAGATATCCTGGAATACTGCATCCAGTTTTGGTCACCATGATATAAAAAAGATGTAGAGACTCTGGAAAGAGTGCAGAAAAGAGCAACAAAGATGATTAGGGGACTGGAGGCTAAAAAAATACGAAGAATGGTTGCAGGAATTGGGTGTGTCTAGTTCAACAAAGGAAAGGACTAGGGGTGACATGATAGCAGTGTTCCAATATTTGAGGGCCTGCCACAAAGAAGAGGGGGTCAACCTATTATCCAAAGCACCTGAAGGCAGAACAAGAAACAATGGATGGAAACTAATCAAGGATATATGTAGACACAACTGTCTTGATAATGAATGCTAAGGGAGATAGAATCCTGAATCCTCCTTTTTACACAGAGCAAAATTTATGGCACTTACATTTTCCTACTTATGGCATATTTTGCCTTAGAATATTCATAGGACATTTGATGTGCTAAATGTTCATACTTTTATTCTTCATAGAAGTGTTGGTGTTTTCTCTCTTTCATTTTCTGTTAGGTGCATTTTATCTTGTATTCGAATATATGGACCATGACCTCATGGGATTGCTAGAATCTGGGCTGGTGCATTTCTCAGAGGACCATATAAAATCGTTCATGAAGCAGTTGATGGAGGGACTGGACTACTGTCACAAAAAAAACTTTCTTCATCGCGATATCAAATGTTCCAACATCTTATTAAACAACAGGTAATGATGTGAATTTATTTTGTATTGGATAGTGAAACCACACTTGGAATACTGTGTCCAGTTCTGGTCACCATGAAACAAAAAAGATGTTGAGACCCTGGAAAGTGTGCAGAGAAGAGCAACAAAGATGATAAAGGGTCTGGAGGCTAAATCGTATGATGAATGGTTGAAGGGAGCTAGGTATGTCTAGAGCCGTAGTGGCGCAGTGTTTTGGAATGCTACTTCTGCTGACTGCCAGCAGCCTGCAATTTGGCAGTTCGAATCCCACCAGGCTCAAGGTTGACTCAGCCTTCCATCCTTCCGAGGTCAGTAAAATGGGGACCCAGATTGTTGGGGGCAATAGGCTGACTCTGTAAACCACTTAGAGAGGGCTGTAAAGCACTGTGAAGTGGTATATAAGTCTAAGTGATATTGCTATTGAAGAGACAGATTGGGGGTGGGGGACATGATAACTGTCTTCCAGTACTTGAGGGGTTGTCACAGAGAAGAGGGGTTTGACTTATTTTCCAAAGCCCCAGAGGGCAGGATGAGAAGTAATAGGTGGAAGCTTATTAAAGAGATCCAACCTAGAAGTAGGGACAAATTGAAGTTGTGGGGGCTCCATCATTGGAGCTTTTCAAAAATAGACTGGACAACCATTTGACTGGGATGGTATATAACAGGGGTCTCCAACCTTGGCAACTTTTAAGACTTGTGGACTTCAACTCCGAGAGTTCCTCAGCCAGCAGAGCTGCAAAGCTGGCTGAGGAACTCTGGGAGTTGAAGTCCACAAGTCTTAAATTTGCCAAGGTTGGAGACCCCTGATATATAAGACTCCTGCCTTGAGCAGGGGGTTGGACTAGAAGTTTTCTGAGGTCCTTTCCAGCCCTATGATTCTATGTTCTGTGGATTGATTAGATGACTTTGTATGGGAATTGAAAGATGGATTTCTCTGTGTTCTGTCTAGTATATTTAGGAAATGTCTTCTTCCCATTCTTCCTATTCTTCCCCTTCCTGAGATCTGAGGAAGATCTTTGCTCTGTATTCTTTTGACAGTTCTAGTAAAATTTTGAAAGGAAAAAGTTATTTATTTTCTTATTAACATACCAGTATCATGAAACATGTTTCTAATGAAGATCTACTTGACTGCTTCATTGGTGGCATTTCAGCAAGCAAAATGTGCTTTATGTAATATCTCTATTCATTTGAGTTACATTTGTCTTTGCTGTACAATAGCATTCAAGTAGCTGGTTGCCATTTCTGTTAAACAATCATGCTACACAGAATCACTTTTGGTGAGATGGGTGGCTATATAAGTTAGATAAATAAATAAAACATTAGCTGCTATTTTTTTTATTAGTGTGTTTCAAGCATAAACCTTTCTTATTGAAGTGACAATTGCACAAGGTCCAATCCAGCTCATCTATGTGACCTCATATGTACAGTTGCACAGCAAAGGGGGATTTGTCATGAATGTATTATTTAATATATTTTATTATTTATTAAACTTTTATGCCACCTATCTCATTGAGGCGACTCTAACTGGCTTACAGTCATTAAAAAAAATACCATCTAAAACAGATTCATTGAGGGCATCAGGGTTGTGTTTGACCTCAGGGGGCCGGGGTGGGCATGGCCAGGGTGGGCATGGCCAGGGTGGGCATGGCCAGCTTGATGTCACTTGAGTCAGGGACGCCTGTGGTGGTCTGAGTGCTCTGCCAGAGAAAATGGAACTCCGTTTTCACTGGCAGAGACACTGCAGTCCGGTCCTTCCCTGTTTCCAGGGCGGCCCCGTGGGCCAGATCTAAGCACCCTGCGAGCCAGATCCAGCCCCTGGGCCTTGAGTTTGACACCCCTGATCTAAAACAATAAATAAAGACCATAAATTTAAAATTCAGTTAAAATCCAATTGACCAAGACGGAGAGGAAGGGAACAAAGTGTGCATGGGGAGGAGGTGGAGTCTATCTGATCCACGGGTGTAAAACTTGATTGTGTCATGGGCCAGATCGTAATGTATCACAACATTTTTTGCCTTTGCTGAGCTGGGGTGGGCATGGCCTGCATGTGATGTATTTGGCCCATGGGCCACCAGTTTGACAGGCCTGATTTAATCCATTAAACACTTCTAGGATGCAGCTCCCACATTAGGGCCCCAAGCCAGTTAGCAGAGGCAGGTCTTCAAGCCCTTTTGGAAGGGTAAGGGTTAGGGTAGGTAAGGGTAAGGGTAAGGTTAGGGTAAGGGTGGGTGTGGAACTCACCTTGGGGGCACAGTGTTTCAGAAGGTGGGTTCCACAGCAGAAAAAGCTCTTCTCCTACACTCCGCTAGCAGAAATTCCTTGACCAATGGTGTCCACAGCATGCCTCTTCTGCTGGTGCAGGTGGGGCAGGCCAATCCCATTGGGCTGGGATGGTTCCTCAGATAGCCTGAACCCATACCATGAAGGGCTTTAAAGATGATTACATGTTGAATTGAACCCTGAAGCAAACTGGTAACCAGTACAGCTTATGGAACAGCGGTGTGACATGGGCCATCCGCGGCGCCCCAAGAACTGCTTGCGTGCCTGTGTTCTGTACCAGCTGAAGCTTCCATATAATCTTCAAGGGTAGTCCCATGTAGACCATGTTGCAATAGTCCAACTCTGAGATGACCTGGGCTTGAACGATGAGAGCAAGGACTCCCTGTCCAGGAAAGGGCACAACTGGTACACAAAACAAAGTTGAACAAAGGCTGTCCTAGCCATGACTGTCACCTGCTCATTGGGCAGGAGTTGCGAGTCCAGGAGAACCTCCAAGTTGCACACCATGTCTGTCTGCAGTAGAACTTAAGAAGTTAAAGTCCCAGAACCTGGAACTCCATGCACCCAAAGCCACTTGGTCTTACCAGAGTTCAGCCAAAGTCTGTTGTCCCCCATCTAGACTCCCACAGCCTCCAGGCACTGCAAGAGGGCAGCAACAGCATCACTTGGGTCACCCGGGCTGGAGATGTAAAGTTGAGTCTCATCAGCATACTGGTGGTACCTCATCGCATGGTGGCAGATGATCTCACCCAGCAGCTTCATGTAGATGTTAAAAAGGAGTGAAGAAAGTATTGAGTCCTGTGGCACACCACAAAGGACCTCTCAGTCCACAAATTTTAAATTTAAAGTTAAAATACAAAATTAAAAAAAGAAAAAACTAAAAACCACCAGACACTAATAATAAAAGTAAAAAATGTGTACAAGAAAAATAACAAAATGACGAATAAATCATTCACTCTGACATTGAACATAAAAAAGTTCACCCTGGTTGAATGCTGAAAAATATATTAAAAACTGATGCATTTTCCCTTTACATAATAGGTCTACAAGTGATTATAAACATTCCCATCTATATTATAATAAAAATACTATGTTACATAAAAATATATCCCTGATGTGGAAATCTGTTTATCTATCCAATCAACCCAGCATTTGTTCGGTTGTGTGTGTGTGTGCGCGTGCACCAGTGGTGGGATTCAAATTTTTTTTACTACCGGTTCTGTGGGCGTGGCTTGGTGGGCGTGGCAGGGGAAGGATACTGTAAAATCTCCAGTCAGAGGTGGTATTTGCCGGTTCTCCAAACTACTGAAAATTTCCGCTACCGGTTCTCCAGAACTGGTCAGAACCTGCTGAATACCACCTCTGCCGTGCACACACACACACACACAGAGTCAGGATACTGGCTGTTACCCCAATTAAATCATGAGTCTCGAGCCAAACTTCCAAAACTTCAAAAAGGATTTATTGGGAGTTAACATGTCTGGCACTGCCTGGGTGTAGCCGACTCTGAGACACACAATTCCTTGTCACCCTTGACCCTGGTTTTCCCGTACCCCCTGGGTGTATCATAATTCATATTCTCCAATGAGACACATCCATAGCCAAGAGTCATCAGTCATGTTCTCCAGTTAGACTTTTGCGCAGCAGAAACTTCAGTCACCTAGTTACTATCTCTGAAAAACTATGTATGGAATGCACTTTCGATTTCCAAGCTGCTGCACTGCTCTTTCAAACCCCTTTCCCCCCTCCCTTTCTGTGGCAACTCTAAAACGACCATCGAAATATTTTATGAGTTGACACGCACACATAAAGCAGTCAACAGGTAACCCCAAAGGTAAAACTAATCTTCAAAGCCCTCTGATAACCATCAGTTATTGTATTTAATATGCAGAAAGTCCACAAACTGCTTCCAGTCTCTTATAAACTTATCCAATCCATTGTCTCTAATCAATGCGGTTAATTTTGCCATCTCTGCCAGTTCAGTCAATATTAAAGTCCACTCTTCAACAGTTGTTTCTGTGTAATGATAACCATAACGGCACCTTATCAGCTAATCTTCTTTTGTACTTTGACCATACACACCCAGTCGATTGACTAATGACATGGTTCTTCAAACCAGGATCACTTTTACTGGATCATACCACAAATAGGCATGCTGCCCAAATCTCAGATCAGAACCTTCAAGGTTTAACAACTTTGAGTTTTCCAAAGTTACCCAATCTTCTAACCATACCAAAAACAGGCATCATAGTACAGTCTGAGGTCTGGCAAACCAAGACTGTCAGAATTTGCAGCAATCCAACCAGCACACAAGTAAATAATTCATCAGGATTCATTTATAGAATAAACTTTTAATATACAGTATGATGCATGTATACAATACCCAAGTCAGAACCAGAACTCAGAATCCAGAAGTCATAATCACAGAAGCAATACAAACACAGAAGAAGCAAGATATTACAGAGGCACTCATATATATACAGATCAGTGAACCTAAGCCACACCCAGGCTCCGAGCCGTCTGGATCACCAAACAGTCCCCACTGGTTGACCTGTTACCATGTCTATTCCAATTTATGAACCTTATACACTGACACTCCTCCCTTCATGACTGGAATAGACATAAAACCGAATAACTTAATATTCTTCTGATGTTGCACTCCACCCAATGGCTTGGTCATGTCTGCCAGATTGTTCTCTGAAGAACAGTGAAGCAAGCTAATT